CATGATCTTGGTTACCTTGCCATTAATAAACACGCAGTAAAAGCGACAGTAACCGCGCGTCAGTCAATCAATCGTCCGATCGTTATGAAAGCACACGCGATTCGTAAAGCCGGAGCGACAGTAAATAAAGCGCATGTTCGGACGTTTCAAACTAAGCACAAACCTCAGTTTCAAATGCTGCGTGAGCACATGCATGCGTGTGTGCATAATAAACATGCATTTAACATTGCAAAATCGTCAAATTAAGCGCAAAAATCAATCGGAAACGATTTGAAGATTTGACGTGCAAAATACGAATAGAAAACAAACCGTTTACGGTTTCGTCAAGTCATACATTTCTTTTTTCGTCTTTTGGCATACAAAAATTCATTTTATGGAATTGACATTATGGTATTTAGCAAATTGAAGTTCTTATCATTGAGAATCAGATTAAATTTATTTATGCATAGCACGGTGTTGTAAATTAAATACTTTTATGACATCATATTATTATTTATTGTGAGTGAATTGCCTCTAATTAGTGCGACGTGCCCGAACTTAAGTAGCATGTGAGAATGAAAACAAAACGAAAATTATTGTGAAGCCTTACTCATACCTGATAATAATTTGGCCTTGTTTCTGTGGTGAATCCTTTTCGAGTTTGTTAATTGATGCATTTACATCTGCAGGTGGAATCAACTGTAACGAATTTTCTTTCGAACTTTCGACAGTCGGAAGTTCGCTGATTTGACTGTCGGTATTTGATTGCTGTTGTTCTGTCGTTGAGGAACTACTTTCATTCGGTTGATTAATCACCAATTGCACATATGGCGTTACATTTTTATCAGTCGATTTTAGATCTCCATTTGATTCATTCGGTTGTGATGGCGTATAAAAATCGATTACCACTTTTGATTCATTCACGGTTAAATGTTCCTCTTCAATCGATTTATACGTAGATGATGTTTCATTTTTATTAAGATTGCTGTCGTCGAGATCAAGTGTTTTAGTTGGCTGCAATGCGGCTGCATTTATTTGGCCCACAGCAAAAATTATCACCAAAATTAACGGAAATATTGACGAAACAGATGCCATACTTGTCGTGTATACAGTTTTTGTTTTTTTCATCTAGTTCTTGGCTTTTCCAAACACAATTTCCGATCTTATTTCACTTCGATCGTGGAAAATACATATCGACGTATCTGCAATTGTAATTTGACATTAATACGCTTGTATACACTTCGGAAATGATCATCAATCGAATACAATGATTTAATTATATATTTGCAAAGCATTTACACTTCAATACACGAAATGAGTGAGAACATCTTCTTTTGAATTTGTTTGGGCTTGGCTTCGTTTTCTTTTTGGAATTTTTTAACACGTGAGTGCAAAAGATATGTCTGATAAAAACCGTAACAACATAAAAGTGAGGTTTGCGTTTATTGACGCCGAGGCAATTGAACTTGTTTTGTAAAACATGAACCGATTTATCTCTAATAATTCGGAGTCAACAATTACTTGCGGCACGTAATTTACATTTCACAAGTCAAGGTAAATGCCACAATTATTGAACGATGTTCATATAATATGTTACTTTGGGTCATAAACGAATGTATTTAATAACATTTTTTTTTTAAATATACTCAATAAATCGTGGCGATGTGTGTCAATTTTCTACTAGAAATCATTTTTTGTTTGCAAATCGATTTTTATGAAGTAAAAATAAAATTGAAATAGCGCCTTAATCTTAACATTTAAGTATAAATTTTTCTTTGTTTTTGTTTTTGTACGCTGTGTCGACTCATCCGTCATATGAACAACAATGTAAAACAATATGAATAAAAAGAATCATTCAAAAGAGATGAATGAACAAATAAAAAAGACCAGTTGCGCGCATTAGACGTGTAAGAGTCGACTCCACACAGCAATTGAGTAAATATTTGTTGAGCCGATAAAGCAGCAAAATGAAAAACAGTAAATAGATTTTGACGGTCTTTCGTTCTATACAGTTGGAATAGACAATAAATATGGAATAGAGCTTCTGCGATGAAAGAAGATAAAAGTGTACACACGCGCACGCGCGTCCCTACAATTTTGCCGCCGCAAAAGAAAACAAAAACCAAAATGATTAATCAAATAGCCACCATATCACATTTCATGTGTATGATCGCACAATTATTGTGATGAAAATTATGTGACAGTGATCTGGTTCAGTTCTTAGTACAATTCTATTTCTTCGATCTGTGTGTTTTTTTAATATGACGAAAATTTAATTGTGACGCAAATGTAAGATTTCTTCTAGAAAGCGTATGCATATCAAATAGGAGCAGAAACAATTATTGCATTAGTAGCACAGAACGGTAAGTTTTATGATTTTGTTGCGGTCTGAATCAAATTGGTGGTGTCATATTTGTGGTAATGAAATTTATGGCTAACACTGCAACCGCAATATAATTTCTCGATTTGAATTGTGTCGAATTGAATGAATTCGACGGAAAACGATGTCAGGTGTCGCATCAAGTCAAGTTCAAGAACAAGTCACCGCATATGTTTTATTTTTCAATTTGAATGTAACCTTTACAATAATTCATGTTCTCACTTAGTAAGCGCTCGTGCAGCAAATAATAAATTTAATTACAAATCAAAATAAGAGCAAAGCCACGTTGAATAGAAAATCAAAATGAATTTAAACTTCACTCAGTTGCACTTACGTTTTTTATATTTTTCACTTGTTTTGGTTAAATTGGATAGCGCGCGCACACACACACAAACACATACACACTAATTAATAAACTGAATTGAAAATCGAAATAAAAAATTCACTAATTGAAAACTTTTGTTTTATAATTTATGACTTATGCAGCAGTAAATCGATGAGGTCTTGAGCGAGAGCGATTATTCCTTCTTGCAGTATTCGCAAGACTCAACTGACTGCTCAATTAAAAGCGTTACATTTGTTATAGGTAGTAAAGCAATCGTTTGCTCGATCGGTTCCTTTATCTCTGTCTCTCTGTTTGTGTAGCATGCGACATATACTGACTGAGTCGTCGAGTCAACACACATACAAGGCGAATTTATTATAGATAAAAATCTGTATCTAAAGTT